AGAATAACCTTTATTATTATAATCATTATTATTAATATTATTTATATAATAGTCTTAAGTATCAATTAATTAATTAATTAATTAATCTACTAGAAACACCGTTAAGTAATATTAATGTACGTGTATGTAATATGTATGTGTATATGTCCTTTAAATGAGCGTTTTTGCGTGTGTTGGTTGGATCAATAATAGAAATAATAATTATTAATAATATAATAGATAATAGAGTTAATTATAATAATAATAATAATCATAAATATAATAATAAGAATAATCATAAATTTAATAATAATAATAATATATAATCGTAATAATAAGATTAATAATAATAGAATATTAGCGATAATAGTGATGGTGATAATAATAGTGGGTAGTAGTAGTAATAGTAGCAGTAGCAGTAGCAGTAGTGTAATAGTAGTAGTAATAGTAATAGTAATAGTAATAGTAGTAGTAATAGTAGCAGTAGTATAGTAACAGTTGTAAGAATAATGATATATATATAGCAATATTAATAATATAATATTAATTCTATTAGTAGTATAAGTAATAATTCTGTAGTTTTTAAATGTGTCCTTAGGGAATAAAGAGAAAATGGGTAGAATAATATTCGATTGATGGTTATATGATGTAAAATATGTTTAAAAATAATATGTAAGATAACAAAAGTAAAAGTTTTATCAATAGTGTGTGTATTTTACCCTCCCATAATGAAACTTCTAGCATCCTCCCATCATTAAATTACGATGAAAGAAGCTTTCAATTATAAATATCATGTGAATATATATATATATAATATGATTATACACGTTCAAATATATAATTTTTCATTGTCCCTCTTAATTATTATATATATTTAAAAGAACAAATATTATCTGTTTTAATTTTTAATCACCATAGTTATATTCTGTTTGTATAACTTTTAAGGGTGTACATTTTAATTAGCTTTTTTATTATAGAATTTTTATTGAATTTCAATTTCCAATTAGGTTTGTCATTTTGATGATTATTAATCCTCCTTTTATTGCTGCTACTACTAACCCATAGGATTATAAAAGTTTCGATTGTAGGGTTAATTAATAATAATGGTGAATAGCAAAAAAAATTATGTACGCCTTGATCTGAAAATATTGCCTCGACACTGAACTTTTCAATTTTTTTGGCAATTATTTAACGACGGTTTGGCTTCAAAACTAATTGCTATTATAATTTTTACGTGATTTTTAATTAGAAAACAAAAAAAAAACACCGTAGAAATAGCGTGTGTGTCACTTATTTTAAAGATTTGGCAAATATTTTAAAATGATACTCTCTCAGTTTTGTCTAGCTAAATTATTATTATTATTACTTTTTTTTTTATGGGGAGTATGTATATTATCAGTGCGTGTGTGTGTGTATATATATAGGGTGATTCTGGTGATTTCTTTGATATTTTATATCTTTACTTTATAGGGTACCCTCACGATATTAATAAAATCCCATTATTAGTAAAAATGCATTAATCTTCTTGTTGTTGTTCTTCTTCTATATAACAATTGGTAATTAAATTACTTCAATAATTAATCAACGAGTGTTCAATATCCTAATCTGATTATTATTCCCCCAGTCATTCTCTCAATCTCTTTCTCTCTTTGTCTACCTATTTTTTATGTGTTTTCTTTTTTTTGTTAGTTGTTGATTCTATTACTTAAAAATTACGGAATAATTATGATTCTTCTGTAGAACACAATAATTGGCATATTTTGTGTTTTTGTTTCGTTATAAATAATATCTATTTCTTTTTCTCTCTCTCCTTCTCTCTTATTCACTCTCTCTCATCTTATTCTCAAAAGTCATATCTTGAATACTTTCTTTTACACAAAATGGTCTTATTTCTCAAGTTGTATTTATTTTCTTTTAATTAACTAATTAATTTTCAATAGTAATCGAAATACATTTAATTATTGACACACTATAATCGTATTTTTCACGTATCACGAACTTACAACACTTGATTTGTTCCTAAAAATGTAGACGATATATTTTCTATTATATGATATATATATATATACTGTGTTTAATTGTAAGAGATCAATTACAAACGAGAATAAAAGTAAAAAGTCTCTTTCTTCTTACCCAGTTTTCCGGATCAAAAAAGTAAATTAGGAAATAATTAATTTTATATATATTACATTAACACAGATATTAAATTATTCATTTCATATTTGTATGATTTAACTGAAATAATATTAGTTGATATATTTTATAACGTTTTTCTCGTTAATCCTTTTTAAGCCCTAAAACGAACCCACCACCTTCACCTTTCTCCCCATAAAAAGAAAAACAAAATTAATACAATGATAAGACGACAATTTGGATAAGTAAGAATTACTTTTTTTTCCTTGCCTCTTTTTTTATTTTTATTTTCAACAAATTTTCAATTACCTTCACCCCACAATTAATCCCACAAATAATTTATGTGTTTTTGTTTGTTTGTTTGTTTATTTTTAAGCGTAGATAAAAGGAAGTAAAATTCATTTACACTAGATCTTGTAGGAAAAAAAATATATATATATAGATATATTTATATTTAATGTATTTATTTAAATATTAAAGAACTTCATCGTTTAACGAGAATAAAACTTATGATGAGACATTCACCTAATCAGTCGTGTCTTCGAGAAAAATTCTTATATTTGTGTTATAAACTGGTTACGTTACATTACTTAATTATCTCTTGTGTATGTGTGTGTGTTTATATGTGATAATAAAAAATGTGAAATTAATTAATTACATTTTTTCTATTAGTAAACATGTATACTTTCTATTCTTTCAACTTTCTTTTCTTATCTTTTTTTTACGTGCACATCTTCACCACTTCCTTTTTAGCCCAGATGATATTTTGTTCTTGAAAAAAAAAAAGAAAAAAAAAAAAAACAATAATAAAAATGAAAAATTAAGGAATTAAAAAGGGGGGGGGGGAACAAAAGGAAAACCATATAAATTAAAAGAATAAATTAAAACGATTAAAATACATTCGTCGATGAAATCGTCTATCTATATCTAATCGTTTAAATTGATTATTAATTATGTAAAAACGAATATTTAAGCTTATTTAAACAAAACAAAAAGAAAAAAAAATCATCAATCGAGTTCGTTGAAAATCTATTCTCTCTATTCTTTATACTTTCTTCTTCTTTTTTTTTTATTTCAAACTTAAGCTGCAACTTCTTTATTCTTAGTTGTTTTCAATTAAAAAAAGAAATGTGCTATATTTTATAGATTTATTACAAGTAGCCTCGATAAAATGCTATGTGTGGGTATTAAATTTATTTTATTATTATTATTATTATTATTATTATTAATATTGTGTATGTTTAACACGAATAACTGTGTAGTTAAAATACGATAAAATATACTTTTGATATATATATAATAAGTAATTAAAAAAAATCAACGAGAAATTATGTTTATCGATTATTTAATTAATAATTAATTAACCCTTTGCACTCCGAAAAATTGTGGACATTGGCTAGCAGTTACTCAGCACCACTTGACAGGAGAAATGAACATTTACAAGATCTCGTATTATTTATTATAATTTTTAAACTAAGTAACGTATTATAATGATATTGGTCTTATATGAATTGGTTGAGACCAAGGAATGTATTTAAAAAAGAAAAATAATTAATATTTTATTGTTTATAATTTTATATAGTATGTTAAATTCTGAAACACTTCCCAAAATGTTATTGCAGGCTGATTAGTGTATGTTTCACAATAATAATTTGTTTGACGCCAGTTACTAGATGTTTTCCTGTTAGAACACACAATACAGTCCTTTTTTTTGTCCCACATTGGGAATATGTAATTTGTTGTCTAATCTATTGGTTGCAGAAGATCTAGAGGGACACGTTCATCGATACACGAATAAATAAATGGGATTAAAATTTCTAATTGTTATTAATAACTCATAAAATGATATTTAATAAAATTGCTTTTTACCAAACAATTTGTTCACTAAAAGAAGAATCACTTTTCCGATTTTCCCACTCGCGTTAGATCTATGCGTACTTGCTCGATGCTTAAAACCAAACTAAAGCTCAGCTTTTGGAAATCTTTTCCTCCAGATTTAGACTTGTTTATTTATAATTATAAATCTTATTATATAATGCGTCCTATGTTTGCATTCCGACCTTTCTTCTACAAACAACATCCTTTATCGATTTTTTCAAGTGGCACCAAAAAGTGCTCAACCCATCGGGGTTGTTGCCCGTTCTCGTCTGACACAAAACCCCCTGACAATATTTTCATTTAATTTCTTGTGCTATTTCAAGAAAAAAGATCAGGGAAACATACATGTTTTAAAAAGTGGCGCTGAAATAACTTATTTCACTGAAATCACTAATAAACTTGAGTGCAAAGGGTTAAGCGAACTTTTTACTAAACAAAAATGAACTTTCATGTTTTACACCTTAATTTTATCTCTCTATCTTTTTCTCTCTCACTCTCTCTCTCTCACACACACACACACACAGAGAAAGAAAGAGAGAAAGAGAAAAAGAGAAAAAGAGAGAGAGAAATTCTCTCATATTTATTTTGTTCGTTATGAGATATTTGTAAAGCATATGTGGTGTTTTTTCTTCTTCATTTTATATATAGTTCAGTAAATATGGTAAATTTTAATACGTAAATATATAGTAATAATATTACATATAGTAGTGTTAACTACAACAATATTTAATGAATCTTATTTCTTTTATATATATATATATATATATATATATATATATATATATATATATGATCGATTATACAATTACACTCTCGTGTGTGTCCTCAACAATATATTCAGATCAAAACGGAATACGCGGATGAGAGAATGTAGAAGTGTTGTAGTAACCCACTCAAAAAATGTTACTTGAAAAAAAAAATAACATTTTAAAGGACCTTTTTTCCTTTTCCTATTTTATAATAAGAATCTAAAAACGTAATAATAAATCGTGTTTGTTTTTTCTTGTATATATGTGTCCTGTTGTGTATGGTGTGTGTGTGTGTACACGTATGTATGCATCGTTTATAAAAAAAAATCAATAATAGTAATATAATATGATAAAAAAAGTTAGAGATGAAACAAAAGTTAATATAAAAACAAAAATACAAACCAAAAGATAGAACAACAACAAAAAATGATAATCGAATTTCCTCTCGAGTTTTCTTTTGTTTTTCTTTTCTTTTCTTTTCTTTTCTTCTTCCTTTTTTGAGGAAGTTTCTTTAGAAAATTCTTTTGATATTTATTCGAGTAGGAGGTGAAAAAGAAGCAACGTGTATCAAATGGATATTTTTTTAAATACATTTTGTTTGTTTTTTGTTTTGTTTTTTTTTTTCTTTTTCACGATGATCTATTATATAACAAATAAAAGAGTATGAATAAAAAAATTATGGTAAACGATGACGAAGAGATACAAACAACCACCAACACGTCAAGTTAACCATAGAATCAAATAACGAATATTAATAGTCATGTTTTAATCAGAGATATTATCTTTACTATTCTCCGTTTTTGTTTTTTCCCCCCACCCCACCTACCATCGATCTTATTTTTAAAAAATGCAACAGATAACCTATATATTTTATCTCGAGGAATTTATTTTTTTTTTTTAATTTTAATTATTATTAATAATAATAATAATAATATCGGGCTTGCGCATTCGTTTATTTATTTTCTTATATTCGTCAAAATGTACATTTTACGTACTGCAGTCTGAAAGATCAATTAATAATATGATCATCATTTTATATAAGTCGCTAATTAAACATTATCTTTATTAATTCCTTAATTAATGCGTATATTCACAATAACAATCCTTATGTAAAGGTTTTCGCTTGTTCCGCGCCTGGACGTTACTAGCTCTAGTGTTTTATTTTATTTTATTTTATTTTATTATTATTTTTCTTCTTCTTTAAATAACCATTATTTACTTACTACGCAAAAATTGTTTAACTATGGATTTTTAAGGCTCGTTTTTATATGGGGCTTATATTCTTGATTTCCCCTTTCCCCTCTCCTCCTCCTCCTCCTCCTCTCTTTCTTATTTTCACGTACTAAACAAACGTATTATTGTTGGTTGTTGTTTTTTTTTTCCATTCTTTATCTCATATTGTGTGTTATTTATTTTTCCTTTATGCATTTTTTTTTAAACATCCCATATTTCTTTCTTCTTCTTTTTCTTCCTCTTCCTCTTCTTCGTTTTCAACTTATGTAGCGCCGATATCGACTACGGATTTTTTTTTATATTTTTAATACGATTTAAAACTAACTAGCACTTAATTGAAAAAGATTTCTTCTTTCGGGTCCCGAATGACTTAGAGGCTGACTTATTTAAAGAGAAATATCTAATCGCGAACTAGGGAGACACTTGTCTTTTTTTTTTTTATTTATTTTTTCCCTAACAATTATTACGAGGTCTTTTCCAGAGATTTTATTTTCTCTTTGTTTCTTTGTCATTTTCTATGGATTTTTATTTATTTATTTATTTATTTATGTATTTACGTGTGTTATTTGTGTGTATGTAATTATTCATTGATTAATTTATTAACTTTGCTTTCCTATATTTGTGTTAATCCTTATTCTTTACTTTCATGACATTTTTTCGTGACTTAATTTACTTAGAAATTAATTAGACGAAAATTTCGCGCGCGCTTTCGTCAATTGGCGATTCCTTATTTATTTTGTTTTTGTTTGTTTGTTTTTCTAGCTGTTCCTCCCTCTTAAACCCTTCTTCTTCTTCTTCTTCTTTCGGACTCCCTCTAACCCTTTTTTTTAAATCGCGATTCCCCCTAAATTATCCAGAAGTATTATTTAAACTCACAGCCGCACTATTGGGAAGGGAGATAGTGTTATAGGTAGAAACGAATATATAAACGGTATTGTTGTCATTATAAATTAAAAAAAACTTGTTCAAAATGTCTTTTCTTTTCTTTTTTTCAATTTTCTTATTCGTTGCATCATCAACACGTTGAACGCCATGTTTATTTCGATCTTGCTGACGGCCATCTTGCTTTCTGTGGTCATTGAAATCACACACACCTCGGTATTAGATTTATTTTATACTTAATTAAGCAAAGATTTTGTTTACTTATTATTTTTAACAATTTATGATTAAATATTTAATAGTAATAATATACATGTATATATATAATTAA